TGTCCAACAAGGTAAAGCACATCTGACACAAACTAGAAGAACATAGTATGGATGCAAGAAACCTGTGGTGCTTATATGGTCAGTTACAAGTGCAGGAAGATGTGCTATAAAATATCAAGCCCTTGTTTTCAGATTGAGCTACAGCTAGCAGCCCCCAGAGCAAGAATTTCTCTCAACTTTGCATATTACAAAGACTAGAGGGCATCAAGATATTGCTTGAACTTGTGCTAACATTCTACAGTGGTTCTTCTGGCCACATTTGAGTCAAAATGTTCTGTGCTGGTGTGAATACTGTATAGAGTGGTCTGCCCAGATATAGAACCTGCCAAGACAAGGTAAACTCCAGCAGAGTATTGGTGAGTCTGCTCTAGAGAGAATAGCCCTGGATATCACTGGTCCACTTCCAGACACTAAAGGAGATTATCAGTACATACTCATCATTGTTGACTACTTCACAAAGTAATTCAAGGTTTAACCACTGATCGATAAACTGACACAGTAAGCTGAAGTACTTGTACAGCATTAAATAGTATGGTTTAAATCACCAGAAGATATACATGTGGATCAGAGAGCTAATTTCAAAAGCCAATTATTCTTTGAGTTGTGTAAAGTGTGGTAAGAATGCACACCTTACTACCCCCAGTCTGATGGTTTAACAGAATAGGTAATACAAACTACCAAGTTTACACTTATCAAATTTGTAAATCCCAGCTGATACAACTGGAATAAACACTTGTGGTACACTAAAATGGAATTCCAAGTGACTGAACAGAAGTGTATAGGCAGTTTGCCAGAAATGCAAGTTTGAGGAGGAAATACTACTTGTTGATGAGATGTATGGTCCTCCCCAAAAGTAAATGTACCATAATGCCCACAGGAATACATGCATTCAGTATATATCATCTGTGCAGTAGGTGGCTGTCCTCTTCCTAGCCTTGAACTAGGACTAATTCTACACTTGGTTGAATTGGGAATGCAGTGCATAGACAACCATCTCTCAGTCCTCTTGCTGCTCCTTGTAAAGATGTAAAAGCAAATAGAAAACAATACGCCTGTATGTCAAATACTTAGGGGATATTAAGCAGAACTGGTCCTTATCTAGCAAAACCCTGTCACTCAGCAATTTCATCTCATGAAGAAACCACAGCATATCAATTAACAACTGGGCCAATCAACTCTGTGCTTCTCATTCAAGAAACAATTCTAACTGCAAAAGACCACCATAATCTAAATTACACACAGACATTCTTCCAACTACAACTGTCTAATGAATGTAATAAACTATTAATCCATATTCCACGTGTGCTAAATTGCAACTAACTTTTTAATATTTAACTTTTTAGGTTTTTGTATAAACATGTTTGCCTTAATGTTCATTTTTACACAAATATTAACGTTTTCATTGTATTGTAATTTAATTCATGCTTATTCAACTACTCCTATGTATTTCTCACTATCTTTTAAACTTGATGTTCTCAAAAAACTTTTGAGATTTCACTGATGCTGCAGTAACCTTATTCTGAAACACATGACATATGTAGACTTCACTGATGCTGCAGTAACCTTATTCTGAAACACAGGATTTATGTAGACTTCACTGATGCTGCAGTAACCTTATTCTGAAACACATGACTTATGTAGAGTTCACTGATGCTGCAGTAACCTTATTCTGAAACATGACTTATGTAGATTTCACTGATGCTGCAGTAACCTTATTCTGAAACACATGATTTATGTAGATTCACTGATGCTGCAGTAACCTTATTCTGAAACACATGACATATATAGACTACACTGATGCTGC